CATTTCACTATTTTAACATCTTGTAAGTTACTGTATATTTTAAAGGCATTTTTTGCGTTTCCATCTTGGCTTGGTTCGAGTTTCTCGTGACTGGAAAATATTTAGTGTGGAATGGAAATGGTAGTCAATAGTAAAATTGTACTATTTGTGAATGTTTGAAAGTCGTAAGTATGTATTAAAAAAACAAATAAATGAATGAATTTCCTCGAATGTGCAACAAAAAACCAAAAGCAATCAAAATAATCCACGTCAGCATTCATCAAGCTGCGTTCAAACTTCAAACAACAGTCAATTGTGGATAACCAAACGGCGGGTGTGGAGATAACGGCGATAAAAGCGGCATGTTCAAAAGCTCCGTGAAGTCCCACTCATCTATCGCCGCCTCAACTTTAACGGCGTCAATCTCCTTCTCCTCCGTCTTCGGCACTTTCTTCTCAACCACCGTCGCTTCCTCCTCGTCGCAGCCGTCTCTTTTCCGTTTCTTGTTCCAATTGTCAACTTCGAGCGGGAAATTGACAATCGCTTTCGAGCCTCGGAGTCTAAACGCTGCTTTGTCGTAAGCTCTAGCCGCTTCGATCGCGGTTTCAAACGTCCCGAGCCAAACTCTAGTTCCACGGCGGTTCGGATCTCGAATCTCCGCCGCGAATTTCCCCCACGGCCTCATCCTCACTCCTCTGTAACGCCTCTTCTCTTCCTCTGCGATTACTAACGGTTCCGGTTTAGGATTTACGGTTGCGAATTGGATCCACTCGGTGGTTGTTCTGCTCGGCGGTGCGATCTTCAACGGCGGTTTCCGATTAATCGATTGGAAAGTAAAAGAATCGTTCGATACAAATTGAGTTTCAGCTTCTTTCACCGAAATCGAGTCAGTGAATTTAGGCGTCACGAGATCAATTATTTCCGGTTTGGTTTCATATTCGGAAAACTCGAAACCGGTTTGATCAAATGAAGGGAAATCAGAATGAGCAAATGATTCGAAGAATGAGAAATCGGAGGTGGAGTCTGATTCGTTGATCATCCATCGATTGGTGGTGGCGGTAGACAGGGGAGACAATTCGTCGAGGAGATGCTTCTTGATGAAGAAAAGAGTCGATGCTTCTTCGCTCGGCGTCGCCATCAAAATGATCTCAAGTATTGGAGAAAAAACAGAGAGAATGGAAGATGATTTGAGAGTGGAGAAGAAGAGAGTGGAAATGAGTATTTATAGTGAAAGAGTCAAAGTCAATGAGAGACTCTTTCAAGGCACCATCCTTCCTTCTCAACTAGGAATTTAAATATTCAAAATTTTATTAATCAGCTGCACAAAGGTGTATCTAATATCTATACTCTTGTGTTTCTTTTTATTTTAAACCGTTGGATTAGGTTATAAACTCCCAGTCAACGGTATGATCGTGTGGTTCACCGATGGCAGCTGAGGTAAAAAGACAATATAGGGTTCTTTTGATGTATTATATTTTTTTTTTCCGCACCTTAATTAGACAAGAATAGATCGAATTCATGCTTGTTAGAAAGTTAAATCAAAAGATTACTACTCTTAATTTTAAAATAATTGTTCGCTTAATTAATTAATATTAATCTACTACTACTAGTTGTAAGAATTTGTTCACATGCATGCATTTTTCAAAGGTTATCGCCTTATCGGCCGTGGCAACTCGATTTTTTGGATAATCTTTCAACGACGATGAAAACACACGTTTATTAAGAAGTTGTAATACATAAATGGACCAAAGGCGAAACTAGTTTTAACTTTTACGTTGAAAAAAAAAATGCATTTGTATATATATTTGGATAAAAATTAACTAATGTACATATATAATTATAGTCTCGAACATCTGATAGACAAAGACCGGTGAAATTCTCATCTTGCCGCCGCCCAGAATCATATAAAAAGAACCAATCATTTCAAGTGAAACAAATCATTTGGTATCGGGATAATATTTCCCTTATACAACCCATGTGAGATTGGCTACTGCTGCTTTCGAACGTGAATGATATATATATTTTTTTTAAACAAACGTTAATGATATATCATCTTTACGTTTTCATACGAATGTGCTTACTATCATCGCATATATTCTCATTTTGTTAAATTCATCACACACAC